TTTTTAGCTGTAATGCTGGGTCTGATGTAACATCGAGATTCTCCAAGTGACATTTAAATCCTGTCCCTTCATATTTCGTGACTTATCAATAAAAATTACTCGAGTCACGTCGAAGTAAAACAATAATGAAATAAAAAGTATTATCCTTTTCGTTGAATTTTCTTCGAAATCTGCATATTCAAAAACTCAAATCTTCGGGAAAAGTTCTGGAAGCAATTTTTTGCCTGATCATTAATCAAAAACTGAGACCAAAATCGAAGATCTGCTCGGTACAGTCACCTGATTTAGTTCCGGGAATGGAACATCGGACGAAAAGGTTGCGAAAATAAATTGGCATTTCGTTTAGGTATATTTTGGTATGGCGTGACGATTTATTTATATGTAACCGTGTACAATGAGTATTAAAAGAAGTCAAGAGGTTGCTTTGGTAGTATCCTTTAGAAGGCATTGTGAATAACTGTGTCGAAATTGTTGGTAGCAACGTTGAGAGTTAATTTCGTCGAAAGGTCAGGTTAAATTTTCCGTTTTCCATTTTGATTCGTAGAGAGACTCGAATCGCGGGATCGCGAGCGAAGTAGCAAGCGCAATTAAAAAGAATGGCACGCAAATCCGGTCACGAAACCGTATTCGTATTCATATTCATGGCTAAACTTTTCTCTTCGTTGCAGTGTTTCTCTCTCTTCGAAACGCTAACGCAAAGGTCGCAAGCTTTTCGAACGTTCGATGCGTAATTTACGTGGAATATTGGCCCACTTTTTTCGAGCATAAATTGTAATTTCAAGTAACGATCGAATCCCAATTATAAACGCGTATCGAGATGTTGGAACTGACTGGCGCTTTGGGATCCTTTTGTTCGCAGCGAAGGTCCAACGGGCAATTACAACTTTATCGCGCGCTTATTACAGAATTAAATTCATCGGTTGTATAATCTAATCAACTTAATAACTTTCCGTGCAAAGCTTTGACGAATTTTAACGTCGACGACGGAAAATCCTGGTTGCGCACAACATTTTGAATATTCGAATTCAGCGCAGACTTTTATTTCGTTCGATACAACCGTTCGCCTCCGTATCGCTAATTTCGTATTACAAAATACCTTATTAACGCGGAGGGAGGCATTCAAGGTCGCATTAACGAGATTTTTTCGGTTAAGTAGCGACAACGACTGCTTTAAACAGCCGACCGCAGAGAACCAACGATTCTCATAATTTTTTGTTACTTTATTCTCGGTTTCCTCAAGTTCTTATGTCTCTAACAATCCTTGATTAGAATGGTTTTTACACGGAAAATTTCTTCGAACGATTGGACGAAGTTGGAATGTCTGTTTAAAAAATACAATAACGAAACGTAAACGGAAGTTAGTTTACGAATGAATCTAAAATTTTGATTTGTTATTTGTGAATAAAATTTGCTCGACTCTGCTTTTACAAACGCTGGATTACGAAAGTTATTCACGTGAATAAAATTTCCGCGATACCGTGTGAAATATTCGTGGTATTATATCTTCCAGACTGTATACAGGGTGTTTGGGAAATATCTTAATGGGAGATTCTAGGGGCCAAAAATAAAACGAAAATCAAGAATATCAATTTTTTTATTGAGGCTTCGTTAAAAAGTTATTAAAACATTAAATTAAAAAATTTCAAATCATTCTCAGAAAATTATTTTTATTTGGGATGTCCATTACGATCATTTTTTGTGAATAAACATACCCTCGATAACTGTCTGTCATCCTGAAAACTGAAAAATTTCAAATCATTCCAGAAAAATTATTTTCGGTTGCAGGGGTAAATTACAATCATTTTTTGTGAATAGACATATCCCCGAAATTCTAACCATTTTCGAGAAAAAAATTCAATAGGTGGACAAATTCTTCGCCGAAAAAAAAATTTTAAATCGTTCTGAAAAAATTATTCTTAGTTGCGGGGGTCGATTACAATCATTTTTTGTTAATAGACATTCTCACAAAATTCTAATCATTTTCGAGAAAAAAATTCCTTACCGAAAATGTAAATTCAGGCCAAAATGTCACTTCAAAATTTCGTGCGTATCTTTAAAACGTCATAACTTCTGAACGGATTAAAGGATTTCAATGTTTCAAAATGCAAATAACGCGTATTTTAGTGAAGAATATGTAGAAATTGTAACAATATTGAAAAAATTGCTCCTTAACCCTGCAAAATGGAAAAAACTCCATAAAAATGGTCCAATTTTCAAACGACCATAACTTCTACAATAGTGAATATATTTCAATGAAACTTTTTTCTGAAGTAGAGTTCATGGGTACCTACAAAAATGATTTAGACAATATTTCCATAGCTCGTCAAACAAATTTATTAAAAATGAAAAATGAATTTTTAAGAAAAATCGACAGGTGTCTTAATTTTTTGACGAAAAAAAAGATTCAAATCGTCCCGGAAAAATTATTTTCAGTTGCGGGGGTTAATTACAATCATTTTTTGATTAATAGACATACCCCGAAATCCTATGCACTTTCGAGAAAAAAATTCGAGTATTTACTGAAATTTTTCAGCGAAAAAAAAAAAGTTGCAAATCCTTTTGGAAAAATTATTTTTGATTGTATGGGGCAATTACAATCATTTTTGGTGAATAGACATACCCCCGAAATTCTGCGCATTTTCGAGGAAAAAATTCTAAATTTTTAATCTATAACTCTAACGAATTTTCTTTTGAACTTGATTTTCGTCTTATTTTGGCCTCTAGAATCTTCCATTAAAATTTTTCCCAGGGATGGCCGAACATCCTATATATAAAATTTTATCGTCCATTTGCTCGAAATATTATGAACGATTCATGATAGGAGAAAGTATAGAAAACAGGTTATAATATATACTATTGAGAAATATTGACTTTACCGAAGAGTGTAAATTTATAAAATAGCTATTTATATTAATAACGATGCTATTAATTTGTCAATGTATTTAAATTATAATTTAATATTTAAAACAACAATTCTAAATAAAATATGTACAGTTCAGTTCTTGTATCTTTGTTACGTTTAATGAAAATGATTTAGTTTCGGTGGTCCTTCAAGAGGAAACATAGATTGTTGTTAAATGGCTGTTTTAAAACACTGTAGCTCTTAGAACCGGATCATTACAACGCACGAACGTCATTGATCGACTAACAATATCCGTATTACGTGGACAAATACGATACTGGAAGTGATGCTTGAACAAAAGCGACCGTAAGGGACTTATCAATGTATGACATCGCGAATGTATTATACTGACCTCACCGCGTGTGCAAATGTTAATCTAAATAACCATCGTTCGATCCTTCAGATTCCATTTTACGATACACCATTAGACAGATCATTTTGTTGATTTTGACACTACACAACGCTTCCGATAGCATCTGATTTATCTAATCGCATCGTAAGTGAGGTAAATTTTTATCGAAGCATTTAATCGAAAACGTCGATCTACTACATTCTTCGTCATTCTTGTATATTTTTCTCGTAATTGGATTAATTGAATCGCTTCACGTGGGAACTCGAACAAAATACATTGACGTATGTATAACCAAGGAAAAGAAAAAGGAAGCTTTATCGTACTATACGAAAAAAAGATATATTTAAAGATGAATAGTTGAGGAATAATTTAATACAAAACAATTACAATATTTTAAATAAATAATTAGACTGTTCGTGGCATACAAATACTAACGAATTTTGTATACAGTAATGGAATTCTGAGTGACTAATAAAAATTACAATACAATTTTGATCTAGAGTTTGTCTTTCGAATTACAATGGTCGATGATCGAGATCGTAAATCGAAACATGGGATATAATTAGTCGTAAAATTCCGTGGAGGGCGGTGGGTGGCCAAAAGCGAGAGCCCAGCAACGTCGAGGGCGAAACGTGTCCCTATAATTGGCCAGCAATCGGATTTTCACTCGTCTCTGGTCGCCATCGTAGATTACAATTAATGAAATCGTCGACCGTAGAGCACGTTGGAACGACGTGACGTCAATCGCATGCTAGCAAAAGGCACTTGCCATCAAGGACACCATCGCCTGCCCCCGATTACTCTCGGTTCCGCCATTTTTTTTTCGCACGTGTACAGTTGACACACGCCTAGCTCGTCGATGAAATCGAAATTCTATGATCCAAAAACTGCTGTTTCTAATCCCGCCATTTTGTGGACCACTCGAAAGTTGGTCCGACCGTATTTCGGAAAATCATTACACCATTTTATTGCTCGCAAACATACACTTTCAACTCTTCGTTCGCCACAGCTCGATTCAAAGTTTATGAAAACTTAATTAACGAACGAGGAAAAACATTTGTAAACCTGTCTGCGAGAAAGAACAATTTCAATTCTCTGAAACGGTACCAACTAAATGGCGATCGAAGCAAATTCCAATTAAGACTATGTGTCGTTCATTTTGTAAAAGTAATCTGATTTTTATGCACAATCAGGACAAAAGTTTGCCACGTGTACTTTAGATCATTACTCGGTTTTGTCACTTTTGTTTTCGTGGCTATTTATCAAATGTAGTTTTTAACTTGAAGGTTGCTTCCGTCGAAATAAAAATTGGAATCTTATATCGGTATTAAGTAACGTTTATTTTGGACATCTTCGCGACGATCATCGTCGTTTGTTGTTTATCGATCATCTATCAAAGATTGATCGTACCAGATCGTGACGAGTGTTCTGTTACGAGTTTCGATAATATCGAAATATCGATGATGAAAGAATCCCGGGTGGAATGCTCGCGGAAATATAAATAAGAAATAATCTTTCTCTATGGTGTTGTACAAATAATTGGTCGCTGCATCGTTTATTGAAACGTTCTCAAAATAAGTCGACGATATTGACGTAGCATTTTCATGCAAATTCTGTTGCGTGGGTACTGAAAAAAAAAACAGAGTTTCGAAACCGGTTATTCGTGTCGATCGTCTTCGAGATCAATATTTGTCCGCGGAACAAGCATCGCGACAGATGTAATTTGTGTTTGTCTTTTCGTTTCAGGAAAATCCATATGGCAACTGGTGTTGGAACAATTCGACGACCTTCTAGTTAAGATTCTTCTATTAGCTGCTATTATTTCTTTTGTACGTATACCATTCGAAAAATACATATTTTATAGCACTAAGGATTTCGCGAAGCTCGATAGAATTAAGATCGAAAGAAACGTAAGACTTATGTTAAATAGAGTCGAAATAGTGGATTGATGGGTGAGAAAAGGTGGTTCGAAATTTATTAGCGCGATGAAAGGATACGAGAAGGTTTAAAGAGAATCTGATAATCGGGGGAACATTCTCGACGCTCGAAGATAAATCGAAGTGGTGGAAATTAAACAAATAGATAGCAGCCTCTCTGTTGGATAGCATCGAAACGTTTGCATTTCCTGCGAATAATAAATGTTCGAATAATACCGCCGCGACGACTGTCGTTATTTTTAGATGTGACGTGAAAGACGTTAATTAATAAAATCGAAGCGCCACATTATTCCTCCGGAGAGCAGCTAAGTAATTATTAGTTGGTCAAAGTCATACTATGTTTACGAGGGTTCAAGGCTCACTTATTATAAATACATCTAGTTTCAAAGGTGAAAAAATAGCGCATCGATTTCTCCTCGCTATGAAAATCTCATTACCTTTTTACGCACGTGTAGAAAATTCGTAATGAGAATATTCTGAATATTCCGACCATGACAACGGTGTCAATTATAAATGTTCATTCGCAATTTTACCTGTCGGTTTTTAAGCGCTTAAAATTATTCGAAAAATTAAATACATCGTATCAGAATTCTTGAAAACGTTAAACGAAATAACGAGTATAGAGAATCAACTGTGTTTAATTTGGACGATCTTAGAGTCTCTGTTAAATAAGTGCACGTTGTTTCGCAGGTATTAGCTTTATTTGAAGAGCACGAAGATGCGTTCACGGCCTTCGTCGAGCCCTTCGTCATTTTGCTCATTCTCATCGCTAACGCCGTGGTCGGTGTGTGGCAAGAACGTAACGCTGAGTCTGCGATCGAAGCGTTGAAGGAATACGAGCCCGAGATGGGCAAGGTTTTACGAACGGACAAGGCCGGTGTCCAGCGAATTCGAGCCAAGGAGATCGTGCCCGGGGACATCGTAGAGGTGTCCGTCGGTGACAAGATCCCTGCTGACATTCGTCTTACCAAGATTTTCTCCACCACCCTCAGGATCGATCAATCTATCCTGACTGGTGAATCGGTCTCGGTTATCAAGCATACCGACCCTGTCCCCGACCCACGTGCCGTCAATCAGGTGTGTACACTGACATTCTTCAACTAAAAAAGATCGACAAAACTCATACCTAAATAAGAATGCCTAATACCTAGACTGCCTGATGTTTATGCATTTATGGGAAATTTTAATTCTTGAAAAACTATAGAATGCACTTAATTACATTTAGGTGTTTAGACAATCCTCTACAAAGCTCCCATTTCATTAATACAATTATTTTACTACTAATAACCAATAAAAGATACACAACTCTTCATTCCTCGCTCATAAAACAATTTGGGATCTATCGCTTCCCGTACTCGCCACCAGAGGGACCGTTCCTCTCGCAAGCGCTCAATCGACCTTTCATTTGTATATACCCCGGAGTTCACTAACAGACCCAAAACGAAACACTCCTTTTTCCTCTCCTTCTCCATCTCTCATCAACAGGATCCCACAACAAATGTACCTTGCATAATAAAAAGCAATCACCCAAATTGAAAAAACCTTCTTTCCAACGTAAGTTTCTCCCTCCTTTAGGACAAGAAAAATATCCTGTTCTCCGGTACCAACGTCGCTGCGGGCAAAGCTCGTGGCGTGGTGATTGGAACCGGCTTGAACACCGCCATTGGTAAGATCCGTACCGAGATGTCCGAGACCGAGGAGATCAAGACGCCGTTGCAGCAGAAACTGGACGAGTTCGGCGAGCAATTGTCGAAAGTAATTTCCGTTATTTGCGTCGCCGTCTGGGCCATCAACATTGGACACTTCAACGACCCTGCCCACGGTGGATCGTGGATCAAGGGGGCCATCTACTACTTCAAGATCGCCGTCGCTCTTGCCGTAGCCGCCATTCCCGAAGGTTTGCCAGCCGTCATCACGACTTGCTTGGCCCTGGGAACGCGTCGTATGGCCAAGAAGAACGCCATCGTGAGATCGCTGCCGTCTGTTGAGACTCTTGGTTGCACGTCTGTCATCTGCTCCGACAAGACCGGTACTCTGACCACCAACCAGATGTCCGTCAGTCGGTACGTCTCCATTCCTCGTTGCTTAATCCTCTCGATACTTAGCTCGTTAACGACACTTTCCAATTCTCTTACAGAATGTTCATCTTCGAGAAGATCGAGGGTAACGACAGCAGCTTCCACGAGTTCGAGATCACTGGATCGACCTACGAGCCTATCGGTGACGTTTTCTTAAGAGGACAAAAGATCAAGGGCCAGGACTACGAAACCCTCCATGAAATCGGTACGATTTGCATCATGTGCAACGACTCGGCCATCGACTTCAACGAGTTCAAACAGGCGTTCGAGAAGGTCGGCGAGGCGACGGAAACCGCCCTCATCGTGCTCGCGGAGAAGGTCAATCCGTTCGGTGTGTCGAAGAGCGGATTGGACAGGCGTAACGGAGCCATCGTCGTCAGGCAGGACCTGGAAACGAAATGGAAGAAAGAGTTCACTTTGGAGTTCTCTCGCGATCGTAAATCCATGTCGTCGTATTGCGTTCCTCTTAAACCTAGCAAATTGGGCACCGGACCGAAATTGTTCGTCAAGGGCGCTCCCGAAGGTGTCTTGGACAGGTGCACGCACGCCCGTGTCGGTTCTACCAAGGTTCCTCTTACTTCTACCTTGAAGAATCGTATCTTGGACTTGACCCGCCAGTACGGAACTGGCAGAGACACTCTGCGTTGCCTTGCTCTGGCCACTGCTGATCACCCGATGAAGCCCGACGACATGGACCTTGGCGATTCCACGAAGTTCTACACCTACGAGAAGGATCTGACGTTCGTTGGCGTCGTTGGTATGCTCGACCCGCCTCGCAAGGAAGTGTTCGACTCTATTGTCAGGTGTCGCGCCGCTGGTATTCGTGTCATCGTCATCACCGGAGACAACAAAGCCACTGCTGAAGCTATCTGCCGACGTATCGGTGTCTTTGGCGAGGATGAGGACACAACTGGAAAGTCGTACTCCGGGCGTGAATTCGATGATCTTCCTGCGGGTGAACAGAAAGCAGCTTGCGCCAGGGCCCGTCTCTTCTCTCGCGTTGAACCTGCTCACAAATCCAAGATCGTTGAGTTCTTGCAGGGCATGAACGAAATCTCCGCTATGGTGAGTTATTTTATGGGTAGATGCTTATACAAATGTATACGTATACTAAAATGAATCTTGGTAATCGTTATGGTTGTTGTATGGTAGACTGGTGACGGTGTAAACGACGCCCCAGCCTTGAAAAAAGCTGAAATTGGAATTGCTATGGGATCCGGAACCGCTGTAGCGAAATCCGCCTCTGAGATGGTGTTGGCAGACGACAACTTCTCTTCCATTGTCGCCGCTGTTGAGGAAGGTCGTGCTATTTACAATAACATGAAACAGTTCATTCGCTACCTTATTTCTTCCAACATTGGTGAAGTCGTGAGGTTCGTACACAAGCGTCCACTCAAAGTATGCAACGAGAAAAAGTACTTGAAGTAACACGTTTAATCGTGTGTACCAATTATAGTATATTCTTGACTGCCGCCCTCGGTCTTCCCGAAGCTTTGATCCCTGTTCAGCTTCTGTGGGTCAACTTGGTCACTGACGGTCTTCCAGCCACTGCTCTTGGTTTCAATCCACCTGACTTGGACATCATGAGCAAGGTAATGTTTCCAAACACGCGAATCATGTTCAATTGTCAAAATTAAATTAATGTGTAATTGTGATGGTGTTACAGCCTCCCCGTAAGGCCGACGAATCTCTCATCTCCGGCTGGCTGTTCTTCCGCTATTTGGCTATTGGCGGATACGTAGGTGCTGCAACCGTTGGATCAGCTGCATGGTGGTTCATGTACAGTCCACATGGCCCACAGATGAGCTACTACCAGCTGGTAATTATTGCTTAAAATTGAGACTCCAAACTGTACGAATCGTCAATTGTTTTCGGATGAGTTTTACTCGATAAGCGACATGATCGAAATTGGTTATAACGAGTGGGGATAAAGATTTTAACCAACGGAAACGTTGCAACTCGCAGACTCATCACTTGGGGTGCTTGGGCGGTAGCGAAGAATTCAAGGACATTAACTGCAAGATCTTCACGGATCCTCATCCCATGACGATGGCTCTGTCTGTGCTCGTAACCATTGAAATGTTAAACGCTATGAACAGGTAACACGGTATAAACGAGCATTTTTGCAAGTGCGTGAACTATTATTAATTTATACTTTATTTTTTGTTTCATTTCAGTTTATCTGAGAATCAATCTCTCATCACTATGCCGCCCTGGTCTAATTTGTGGCTCATTGCCTCTATGGCTCTTTCTTTCACACTCCACTTTGTCATCCTTTACGTCGACGTCCTTTCGGTATAATAAACAAATCGTTGCCTACCGTATCTTGTTATATTCCGTCGATGTAACGCTTGCCAATGTTTTTGTGTTTTAGACCGTATTCCAAGTTACCCCCCTAACGGCTGAGGAGTGGTTTACCGTTATGAAGTTCTCCATTCCAGTGGTACTTCTCGACGAAACCCTGAAGTTCATTGCCAGAAAGATTACAGATGGTGAGAATCCAATTTACACAGTGCATTGGATCGTTCTAATGTGGGCTGTGTTCTTTGGACTATTATGTATTTGCCCCATATAGAACATCCGTGAAACAATGTTAGTCTAACAGACGATGTTTTTCCTATGGAAAACATTTACAACTGAGTTCTCGGACTTGCAATTGCATTTAACTAAAGTTCTTCCCCGTTGCCCGGGAAGGTCGAGATAAGTTATTAACGAAGTGCGTTTAAGTGAGATTTTAACCAGTTTGACTGTTGTGCATGGTGTTAGTACAACCATACAAATTTGCCACCAAGGCCCACCATGCCCGCATCACACCAGTACCCTGACGTCGCTCTACAATCATACGGATTTCAGTGGCATCGAGTGATAAAGAGACCCATCGTAATCAAAACAAATTGTGATTGTTGAATTATTTTCTACGAGTGCCTTTTAAACATTAACTTTCCTCTGCAAGAAAATACCCATCGATGTTCTTTCTAACCTGTTACGTTTCACATGTCCCCTGCAACACTATACTTGCATACCCTACGAACACAATGCACTCTAAAATATCATTTTGGGTAGTTATTGTTAAATCCTTTAGCTCATCAGACACCCGCATGATTGGTATATGTACGCTAAGTCTGACGATGTCTTAGCGATGTTTAAAAGAAGGCTGTTTAAATATTTTCTTTTCTTCTTTTTTTAATTTGAAATTTGTTAGAGTTGAAGAAAGCACTTCTCGAATTTTTTTTTTATATTTTTATACCGTAGAATACAGATACACCTAAAATTAGTTAAAACATCGGCAGAATGGGGTCTTACAGCACGATACATTATTTTGCCATAATTCTAATTCTGGGCACTTGACCTTAACGCACACACACGAACACAGCAGCTCACTGTAATTTTCAGTTTATAATAGATATTCTGGGCTCTTTTAATTTATTCTTTTCCACTCTAACTGCTTTTGTTGTTGCTTATTAAAAACTGTTCTTATTCATGGATTCTTAGCATCAAGAGTATCTGCTTCAATCAAGACGTCTAAGCTGGAACTGCCTGATCCGTTGCAGAATAGCCAAGAGAAAGATTGTGCATGAAGTTTGAATTAATGGATCTCATTTTGAACCTGTATATTACGTCTTCCTTCCCATCAAAGTAATGCATGCACAACCGTATTGATAATACATCCTCTAAATTCACCTCGTAGAACAATCGCTATTAGCAACTAGAAAATCCTGCCGTGTTTTGCAAATCATGCTACAATGATAGTGTAATTTTTTCTCAGTGTACTCAACTTCGATCGAGCGCAATCGATTCGATGTGTCGAACGGACCACGGCAGGAACGTTCTAACATTTTGCACTCTCATTGCATCCACTTGATTTTTACATGTACCTTATCTGTGTGATTTACATGTTGAACGATCGACACCACACAATAGATTTGTATACCACTAATTTATGGGTACGGACTGCAAAGGCTCGTGCGTGTAAGATAAGAAAAGGACATTGAAAGTTGATCGTCTCCAGCAGTCCGTATCTCGTCGTATTAATCCCCTCCCTACCCCCGGACGGTGATCTGAACGCGAGAACGCTCGATCCAGGAATGCATCTTCGGTTCCTATCAACGACGACGGCTGGGTTCATCGATTTTAAACGATCCGATAGGTTATGTCGTTCTCTAACCCTTTGCGGGCGGACATCTTGGAACAAACGTTGGTGGAGCGGGGAAAAATAAATGATCGTTTACGCTATAATACATCTTACGTTTCTTTACAATATTTTTAACTTTTTGTTTAATTATCAACCATTAATATATTCGAAGTTGATATAATTTTTCGTTTCGTTAATGAATAAAACATACTGCATGTTTAATAAAAACCTAACCTTTTTACTATGAAAATTATTGCATTTAAAATCAAAGTTTTGTTGGTTAACCTCCAGACTTCGTTCGCAAAGGGTGAAGCTCTGTTTTAGTTATCGTCACGGTTGGGGAAACGCGAAAGTGGGTACACGTGTGATCCGATAATTAGGTTTACCGATATAAGACAATCGTTTTTTGTATTCGTTTCTGCCGTCGAGCGAGTACCGAGTTCAGACGCCTCCGGAAACTACACGCGCCACATGCGAAAAACGAAAAACATCCGGTGTCGTCACGAGTACGTGGGCCTTTTTAACGCATCCGACTGTCTCTTTAGTCATTTCATTCGGGGGATTTTATAAATCGTGTATGGGCAGTCGAGCAGCCGTAAACGAGCGCGTACCAGCGACGAACCACTCCTCGACCCGTGCAAACGCAACAAGACTGACGATGTGGTTCGAGGAGTGGGGGTTTGTTCGACGTGAGTGCATAATAATTTAATTTGCGTTTGGGCGACCACGCGGCAGAGGAGTCTCATCCGCACTACGAGATAGCGTAATATAATTATTATTATCATCGGCTAGGGCGTGATACTTTTGTTTTTTTCCTTCCTTTGTTTTTTTTTTCTTTTTTTTTTCTGTATTGGTATGGGCATAACTAAACTTAATTAGACAAAAGCAAATTGTGTGACGACGTGTACCGTGCATGGGTGCACGGGTGCGTGTTTTGGGAGCGAGTGCACCCGCCATTGCCCCTCCCCACTCACGCACCCACCTGATGCCGCTTGAAAGTACCGGAGGGCAGCACTAACGTTGTGTGTTTTGTTCGAAGTAACGCAATTTTTACTTTGTCACGAATAGAACACGTACCGGCAGATTTTCTTCGACGACTCTATCTGTGCGATATATAATATTTTCATTTTTCTTTTTTTCTTTTTTTAAAATATATAACGCGACGAATCTAACGAGTAAACGTACGGATTGGTATATCGCCAAGCACAGAGATCGCGGAGACGATGATGCCGATGCAAAAGACGGTCCTGATACCACCTCACGACGCTCGATAAACGTTAACGAAATTTTCAATTCTTTTGCGTTCATTCGTGGTATACATAATTTGTAAGTACTTGATTGATTGTGTGGATTGTGTTTTTTTGATCTGGACCGGTAACGAAGACAGTAGTGCCATCGACGAGAAGAGTTTAACAACACTGCGCAGCGTTACGCAAAAGAGCGCAAAAGCATTGAACCGTGATCCACGTGCCAGAGACGCGCGTCGCGTGTACGTCTTCGCGATCCTACGGAAGAAAAAATTATTTTGGAACTGTTCGAAAAAGTATATTTTGACCCCCTCCACGACGAAGATATATGTATCCCAAGAGAAAATCTAGATCCGCGCCATCGAACGTCACCGGAGAACGCGTTTAATTGTCTGGCTGCCCGTTTCTCTGCGCGTGGATCCAAGCCTTTGCCTAACGCTCTGTATCTAATCTAGTACGGTAAACCTACGATGATGAAACCCACGGTCGCATCGTTCGTGCAAGGAAGTACCTATTTCTAATGATAATAAGATAATAATAATAATATTATTAATAACGATAATAATATTAATTAACTTATATAGAGTGCGATGTCATTGAATGATTTTGATGCATATTCGCCAGACGCACTTGTGGCGAATCACGGTGTGATCCTAATTAATTAGACCCGACATTATTACTGTCCGACGTGTCGGACGATTCGATGTAAAGAGAGAGCGAGAGCGAGAGAGAGAGAAAAGAAAAAAAAAACTTATATTAACGAGAACGTCGAACAGCCCCGCAAACCGATTTGCAGGATTACATTTATAACTCTAGTTCACGCGTACGATTGATGATTGTAATTAACACAGAGACACGAGTTACGTCCTACGACCACGGCGCGTTGGTTCGCCATTAGCAAAAGTTTGTTTATTTATCGTGTTTTATTTATCTCTTTATCATGCATTCGAATCAAGAACGGAACGAACATTATAACAAGTGAAAGTATCGCAACGATTATCAACGACTAGCGACAGTCCGACCTCGTGCAACACTTGTTATAATAATAAAAAGAGAACAAAGATCATTAATGTTACCAATGCGTGTTCGAAACCAATGATCGGCCTATTAATTGAAAAAACAAAAAAAAAAAAAAATAGAAGAAAGAAAGGAACACAGTCGAGCGCGATTTCTCGCTTGAACAAATGGCATCTGCCGCGTGTACGAACGTCGAACACTTAATACAATGTCAACGTAATAAGTGTTTGGTCCAGTTTGTCTCCAGCTACCTTTATAACTTTCATTCTCTATCTCTTATCACTTTACACACTACCTCCGAGTATGTTATTTGTTCTCACCTCTCATCGATCATCGACTGTCAGAGTATTCTGTGTGAACCATGCAACGAAAATGGTCACTCGATGGAGGGGGATAACCGTTTTTAACCAATTGATAAAATTGATACGCGATTGATAAATCGTGAAACTGGGATTCAATCGATCCCTGATGATATCGTCCATCAGGTGGACTGGAAAATGTCCACGATAATCCCGTGTTAACAATCATCATCATGGCCATTCTGTGTCCCCCGGAGTTGTTTGAATTTTTGCATGCATTCTCTGGACAAAAAAAAAAAAAAAAATTATACCAAAAACCGATGTTCGGTAACTGTCGTGTCGGCCTGGAATGAACAACACTCCTAATCGAGGAAGTTTACCCCGACACACTTTGTTTGCTAACTCCTGCCTGCTGGTGTGTGAAACTATTCAGTCACGGAGCATACCTGCGCCATTTCGTGATCGGACAAACGCTACACGCGTGTGGATGTTTCAGGTAATGTTTTATTATTTCTGATTATTACACAAGCCAGCGGTTTTACCTTACATCACGACACACGAGACGACGATACTCGAGACTGGTCCTGAAATTCTGCGAACACCGACGTTCAAAGATCCAGAGCACCCTTCGATCTTCAAAATAAATGAATCTTTGTGCTTTTTTAAGTAAAATAATGTATTTTTATACTCTTTATTAATATGTAATTTTTAGTGTAATTTTCGTTAACTTCTATCCATTTTTATGAGAAAAAGACCATTTTTTATCAAATATATTGACTTGAAATAATTGTACGATTAAATGATCCAAAGATATTTCTCTCGAAGCACAATTTCATATTTATGTTATATATTTCTAATTTTATTGATAAATGTGAGATCACAGTTTTCGATATGACTAGCATGGGTGTATAATAAATGTTTATTTTTAAAAAGATAGAAGAGTGCTCCAATCTTTCGAGCGCCAGTATAACGTCGCAGTTATTGTTATTTCAGTTCAGTTTCTTGTTTCGATTGATATTACGTTAAATGTTAGGGCATAGATTTCCATGATACATAAACTTTTAATTAATGCATTGCGTACTTCGTATTTTTTTAAAATTTGCTTAAGAGAAACGCACCAATATTTAAGAAACCATGGTTACAAAAATGTATACAGGATGTTTGGCCACCCTTGGGAAAAATTCTAATGGGAGATTCCAGAGGCCAAAATAAGGCGAAAATCAAGGATACTAATTTGTTGATGGAGGCTTCGTTAAAAAATTATTAACGTTTAAAGTTCCGCTCGTACTGAATTTTTTTCTCGAAAATGCGCAGGCTTTCGGGGGTATGTCGGTTGACCAAAAATTATTGTAATTGACCCCCGCAACCGAAAATGATTTTTTCACAATGATTTGAAACTTTTCAATTTTCAGTTATGATCAGACATTATATTTTCAGTAATGGATTTTTTTTTCGAAACTGGGTATGATTTCGGGGGTATCTCTATTGACCAAAAATAATTGCAATTGACCCCCCTAGCTAAAAATAATTTTTTTAGAACGATTTGAAATTTTTGTTTTCGCCGAACTTCCCTGTCGATTTTTCTTAAAAATTCGTTTTTGATTTTTAGTAATTTGGTTTGACGCCTTATAGAAAAGTTGCGTAATACTTTTTTGTAGGTATCCATGAGCTTTACTTCAGAAAAAAGTTTCACTGAAATATATTCACTATTGTAGGAGGTATGGCTGTTTGAAAATTGGACCATTTTTATGGGGTTTTTCTCATTGTACGGGGTGAAGGAACAACTTTTTCAATATTTTTAGAATTTTTACATATTCCCAATTAAAATCCTACAATCCGTTCAGAAGTTATGATGTTTTAAATATTCGCATGAAAATTCGGACAGATATTTCTGGCCAGAAATTATATTTTCGGTGAGTAATTTTTTTCTCGAAAATGGTTAGGATTTCGAGGGTATGTCTATTGACCAAACATGATTGTAATGGACCCTTGCAACCGAAAATAATTTTTTTTCTTCAGGATAACCAGACAGACATATTTTCAGTAATGAATTTTTTTCTCGGAAAGTGAATAGGATTCCGGGGTTATGTTTATTCACCAAAAATGATTGTTATTGACCCCCGCAACCGAAAATAATTTTTTCAGAATGATTTGAAATTGTTTAATTTAATTTTTTAATAACTTTTTAACGAAGCTTCAGTCAAAAAATTGGTATTCTTGATTGTCGAGTTATTTTGGCCCCTGGAATCTCCCATTAAAATTTTTCCCAGGGGTGGCCGAATACCTTGTATATTCTTTCTAGTCTACATGGAATAATCAAATTAACTTTATAGAACCGCGTAGAACGGAGGCAAAGCTTAGTGTCAATAATTAACATCGACTGACGTCAAGAACTTGGCTTCTTTGTGATTCAATTATTAATAATGGAGATTCTACTTGGCTTCCTTGTAATTAAATTATTCAAAATGAAAATTCTACTTGACTTATTTGCGAGTCAATTATTAAAAATTAATATCCGTTTTGTGTTTCTACTGTTATAATAATATACATCATACTTGTAGTTGTAAAAATTCGCGTGAAATATCTCTAAGAATAATTTTTCGTTTTAATTGCATCCTGTTAATAGGCGGAAACAGGAAGTGAACTGTTATCACATAGCACGCAATGCGTTAATGAGTACTTCGTCTAAAAAATTTATCGTGCAAGCCTTCTACTTCCATTAGTTGATAAACAATACCTAATTATCAGTCTTAAGCAAACTATTTTTATTTATATTTCGACTGTTACTTGTTTTTTGTCACCTTCGGAATAATTACGTAATCTATAAAAAGGAATTAAAATTGTAAATTATATACAGTTGAGATACATGGTGGGTGCAATGAAATTAACATAGCAAGAATAAGTTAGACAATGTTTGCTTTTTTATTGAGTTAAAGCACCAGTATAGGAATCAATCGAAATAAAATTTTCCTCAAACAAAGCGACGTATAACAAAATTTTATTCCATAGTTTCGATTCACTTGTAGCATAACCATACATCCTCTATAACAACGTTTATTCCAAAGACGAGTAAATAAAAATAACTCGTTTAAGATTGACGATCGGTGGTTTATTTATTATATCAATGTGTATCCAGTGTGTCGTTGATTCGATAATTTTCGAACGATATAGTGGGCGACTCGATATGTTACTACCGTTTGACATTGTTTCGTCTAGAGTTCTGCATGCCCAGGGCTCATCGATCGAACCGACCAGCGACTAATGGAAATTACATGATATGCTTGCAGTGGCACCGCCAGTGACGCCGCCGAAATAAAGATCGAGACGCGTAGGACGAATCGACACCTGTCCGGACACGAGAAATCGTCAAAGGCACTTAACACCCACCCGCAACAACCCGCAAGCTGATCGATGGGATCGAACGACAGAAAAAGTTTACAAAACGCTATCGACACGCATACTTACATACGCACACACACACACACACGTATACGCGAACACGTTAACACGTACACTCATCTAAACAGACACACGAAACCAAATTAGTAAAAAGAGAAAAAAGAAAAATATATATATATGGGACGCGTCTTTTTTCCATCGTGCACCGATCGACGCGCGCCTTGGAAGGGTGGTTCAGGAAGATTTTCGAGAAAGAGTGAAGGGGGAGGGGAGACACAGCATTTGTCATCCTTGGCGGTGCGAGAGTACTTGTTTCGAGACGATCGAGCCCCCAGGTTCGATCGAGACGACCACCGGAACGATCACGCTAATGGACGTTGTGTTATGTTGCAGTAAACAAAACGGTCGTCGACGAGTGGGACTAGGCTTGCGTGTCACTGTGACGCCCGGCAACCGTTCTTCTGCCAAACACACGCAAGACTTAAAACGAACAAGCGTCTACGTGACAAAAACAAAAAAAAAAAAGACAGACGAACGAGCGGGGGACTGACTCGCGCCTGCGTTAGGCAACACCGACGGCCACGCTCAATGAACAGTTAGTCGACGCAAAGGGGAGATCGTCGTAGGTCCTCCTTGCGCCGCCACGCACCGCCAATCCGCTGCCCTCGTTTAACGTTTCTGTTTATTCTGTAGATATCTAGTAGCAAAGTGAAAGTCAGGTTTCGAACGAAACGGACCTCCCACGGCTTCGAGAAATCTCCATCCGCGATCGGTACGCAACGACTACCCTTTTGTTTCTTTTTTTTTCTCTCTCCCCGTCCTCTTAAATCTATCTAGTCTGCAGAAGTCTGTTGATCCAGTAGGGAACTTGACAATTTTAATGAAAGACAACCATCGTTTTGCTGGCACATCGAAGTCTGTTTCTTTATTCTCGTCTTCTCGGGCGTGCCTCTGATCCTTTCTTCTTCTTCCCCGGTCCCGACTCGTCTTCTATTCGCCGATAATTCACGGTCGTACCTTCGATAACCACCCATCAGCGACGACAACCGGATCTAGACTCCCCCTAGTCCTGTTCTCAGGACCCAGAGGCAGTTTCTAGTCGTCGTCGAGCGGTGTTCTCTGCGTCGTTGCGCCGAGGATGGTACTCCCGGGGGGCCAGGGGAACGTTATTTCTCGAGTCGCTGGACGTCGTCGTGGACTAACCAGGAGCGGGGATACGAAAAGAGCCACGCGGTGCTCGTGTTCAACGTGGGACGAGCGAACACGAACGAAGAGGCGTTTACTCCCTTCGCCGTCTGGATCGAGTGGTACACTTTAGGACGAATAACAACAAACTGTATTCCCGATCGGTGACGTAACTTTCAAACGGAGGCTTCCGATGAAGCCTCCAAGCGTACCAAAGCGCGCGAAACTTACGCCACTGGAGACAAACGTCGATAAAGCTCGCGAGAATTTAACCATTGTACATAATACGTTACACGCGCGCGCGATGTTTAAAGAGAAAAAATTATTATTACATTATATATATATTAAGAGACATTAAAAAATATATATATATATACATACATACATACATATATTTTTTTCGCGAAGAGAAGCGCACAGACGAACCGCCGAGTCGCGACCATTCGGGACCCGGGCCTCGAGCGAGAAGGATTTGACTGTTGTGATTTTACTTTTTAATTTTTGATCGCCCCCCCAATTAATCTCTCGTAGCTGCGCAGAGGCGGAATTAGCCGCCTCGTGACGGTTCTGATTGTTACTTAGGGAGAGACACGACGTTCACGATGCCTTTCGCTCTTCTTCCTACTCGGTGTCCTCGTCAAGACTGATGGGAGACCACGCCAGTGCCAGCCAGATCGAACGTCGACGAAGACGACTTCCGGCTTCTTCCCTTTATCGTCTACTGTCGCGTACCACCGCCTTCGCGCCGCCATTACTGACAAGATGGCGACTCGCGAGCGTCGGTCGCCCGTATACGAGCCGAGAAATTTCTGCAAACGTTTCTAACACATTCACCGCCCGATCAAATCTCTAGAATATTTTGCAAAATTATAATTTTTATTTCAGATCAAACTACGCAACCTAAAATTTGTTTTGAGCATCCAGAGTACCTGGGGAGTTATTAATTTTTCTAGTTCCATGTATGGTTGACGCGGCAGTAAAAGTGTTAAACGGTAGCAGTCATCGACCACTTTCGATTTTCTATTCTCAAATATTTTCGCGCTCTCGCTCTTTCTCTCTCTCTCTCTCTCTCTTTGCACTCTTTCTCTCTTTCTATCTGTGTCTTTTAATCGTCGTCACCTCTTGCCATTTTTCGCTGATGATCATTTCGTCTTGGTAACTAGAAACTAGAGTCTTACGGTTACACGTAGCGTTTACGAAACCCAGCGTCGTCCAAGGAGATATATTCCCGTCGATTATCTCGCTTGCACAGTAAGTTAAGTGCATATATCATGAACAGGATCGAATCACGATCCACGACAATCTATCTCGCCGGGGGAATACAACGATCGGCACGAGGCGTTTCCCTAATTTTTTGTATACTCGTGCCGCGGCGAGACGCGACGCCATTTTACTCGATTACCTGCCACCCAGTTCTCTTAACGAAACCAAATGTTGGAATATTTGCAGTGCATGTTATTGTATCGTGGAGTGTAGTTTTTATTCGTTCTTGTATGGAAATTAACGGCTGCGCGGACGCTCCAATCGTTCTCGCTCGAATCGTCCATATCGGAGTTTAAATATCGTGGAACGAATTTCATTATTTTTTCTTCTGAAACAGCGACAGACCTTGCGTTATTTTTAATGTTGTACGCCAACAGCTCTGTACGAATAAAGGTTTGGAAGTGATGGAGCCACGACCCCTGTACTGATTCCGTTCTCCAACGCGATGGAACGCCCGGATTGTCCACAGATTATACGAACCACTTCCCCTGTTTAACTCGAAATGAAACTTTTTCTAGGCAAACGAATATCAGGAGTTTCACTTTTGTTTAGAATATTTTTATCACTTTGTTTTTCCAAGTTCTTCTAAATTGTAAAGCGTATGAAAAATATTATAAAGTATCCCATAGTTTTGTAATTTGACTTTCGTTTACATACGGTGTTTATTGCACGTCACAGAATTATTAACGTTAAAACGTAAATTTAAGAAATCTCTATGCTTCTTTTTAAAGAAAAGGGAAAGTTCTCTAGAAAATTTTATTCAACATATTATTCGTATTTAATTCCACGAAGATAATCAAAAAGTCATGGAGTAAAAGATTGCGATGACAAATTGGGCAAGTGGTTATACGAATGCGTACCTATTTAAATCCTCCCGCGTCGCGAGGTTAAACAAAATAAACTTAATTACGTGTCCGAATAGTTCGAATACCAATTTGCGTTCACCGGTCCTTTACCTTCTGCACGCGTTTATTTATAGAGTCGTGTATATGCGAATTCGACGCTTCGAACAGCTGTGCGGAAACCTGTCGGCCATCTTGGTTGACGCAGATATCGGAAGATGCATTTCCCAAACGCGCAGCATAAACGTTTGATCTAATGGCATTAAAGAGTTTATTCTCACGCGTATTTTTAAAACATTATTAAATCTTAAACTTTACTAGTGTAAAATTCTAAATAGATATTTGGAGTCTGAGTTTAACATGATATAATATGAAAATCTATAATTCTATCGAATACACAGAAAAGACGAAGCGAACTGTTTTTGGTTATCAGGTACTTAAACTTGAATTTTCATTAAATAAATAATACTGACGCTGTCTTGCTATAGAAAATAATCCAGTTAGATTTACGATCTGATAATTTCTATCTTGATAAGAAAACAATGCTCGATTAAACGATTGCATCAAGATTAGATCGAAGTTTAATGTGACTAAGATACTCGATAGAGAAACTGCAACGAATTTTATAAAAACTTTTATTTTTAACGTTCTATAGAATATCACATTTTACGTATTCCTTTCCTTACGTCGATCTACATTAGTACTCACAAATTCTCACCCACTCATTTCACGTACGCAATCTCGGGCTCAAATAGAAATTACAAACTATACACAATGGTCATTCGCGTTATTTCTATGGTCATGTCGTAAATAAATACAGGATAACAGAGGCGATGCAATATGTCAACGATCAAAGAATGGAAGAAACAGGGTGGAGGGGGGTCATTGTTAACTTAATGGCGTTTCCTTTGTTATCTCCTTTAGTCGTTGGTTGTACGTCTGTCGGATCTCTGCGATGGGTTTCACTAAGTATATCGGTACATCGTCGTCTCGTCTCTGCAAGAAATTAACAATAATGGAGGATTAATTTACGAAACTTCAATTATAAAAAGAATACAAAGGGTAAGATTTTATCAAGAAGCTTCCACGTGACGAGAATTGAATTGAAAAAATACACAGAATTCATAGTATTGATATGCCCCTGAAAGTATTGCACGAAACAAAACTATGATTCACTCGATCTATACTCCGAAGTTTCGATCATCTTTTCCTAGTAACAATCTACTTTTTCAACTAGATATGATTCAACGAGGATGAAATTAAACGTGGATATGCGAAGTATTGCAAATAAACGATTACGAATAACGAATAAAAAAAAGTTTCACTTATGGAATGAATCGTTCTGAAAGAAATAGATACCAATTTGAGAGTTCCTTAATTTGCCTATTATTTGAATAAATCTTTCCCCATCTTCGTTGCTAAAGAATGCTTATGATTGTTTTCAGAACTATTCAGAATCGAGGTTTTGATATATGCAATATTTTCTGGAACATTTTAATACGATGGTGGACCGTTTACCTGGAAAAGGCATTCCCCTTCGAAGTCAATGAACTTCTGTTTTCTGGCCCTCAGCAGTAGGCCCACGCATTTGTCGTTGATGTGCGTGTAAATGTTGAACAGATCGCCGAACGTGATGGCGGTGATCTCGGGTTGATCTCGACATGGTGTCCCCTCGTGATAGATCACCTCGCACAATTCGACCACTTCTTTTAGAATATGTGCTGTGGCTTTACGACCGCGAATGTCCGTCAGAGATCCAGCTACCGGTCTGAAATCAACGACTCGTTTAGTTATCTCGTCGATTTAAAATTAAAACATCGAGAAATGGTTGGAGAAATAATTTTGAAAAGTATCCCTTTTGCTGGTTCTTCGAGCTAAGATTTAGTTTCATTGGTTAGCTCATCAACAAACAATGACCTCTGGTATCTCCTTGAATAATGTTCCAAAAGCTTTTTATGGGCCCAGAAAAAGAAGAAGGAGAAAGCGAAACCAAAGATACTTAAGTAATAAAAGGAAGTATAATTTAAAGTATACGAAATTTATTTGTTTTAAAATTTTTTGGCTTCGTTTTATATTTATTAAGAAATACGTGGCCTCAACAAAATTTACACATATCTCAAAATGATGGATAATCGATTTTGCAATCTTAAATATTACAAAATAAATTATTCGAAAATCAAAAGATTGTGTTTGGTAATTGGCTAATATCTATGGCGACAGTTACTGAACTCGCCATCAGAGGGCTACCCTCAACTTGTTTCTCTCACAAGTAATTGATCAACCTCCTATTTCCATATTGTAAGTCTCATAAGTATTCGTACCCTCGTTGCTTGTAAGAAAAATTTGTTGAAATCGAAGGATGCATTTAAAGTTTTGCAATAAATTGTTAAATAATAAAAGAAACTATAATTTGAAGTGTAAGTTTTTGACTTCGTCTCATATTTATTAAGAAATACGTGTTTCTTTTTGGAACAATATTCTTCACAAAATTTACACATAATCGATTCTGCAATCTTAAGTGTTAAAAAATAAATTATGATATGCCCCCATGGTTAGCTCATCGATTAAAAATTAAAACATGGAAGAATGATTGGAGAAGTAATTTTGAAATCGCTTTCATTGGTTCCTCGAGTTAAAATTTAATTTCATTTTTGACTTGCTTCGATTTCTTTTTAAACTGAATTTTTTGACGTACTCACCTGCCATACTCTTCTTTGGAGAACGTACGCTTCTCGAGGTTCAATCCGGACGTGAACGGATTTTTATTTTGCTTGTCTTTGTGTGTGTTCGCGTACTGGTTGAACATCGCTACCTTGTCACTCAAAGATTCCTGAAACACCGAAAAATACGTTGATTTTTTTACTTTTGTTAGAGAAAGGTACTATTTTTAAAAGATCTAACACATTTTAACAGCACGGAGTGTTGACAAATAAAAGTCGAACGAACGAATGTAAATGAAATTTAGTGATCTCATTTATTTTATTACTGATACTTAAAGCATTGCAAACTGATTTTTTGTTTAAACGTTATAAATTCAAATTTTGGAAGTGATTTAGTAAAGATAGTTTTCATAACAAACTGATAAACAAGGCTTTTCAATATTTCTTTAAAGTAGTTAGGTTGCTCATTTTAAAGTTAAATCCATTTACGGTGAACGAAATGTTTGTTTTATTCAACTGATATTTATAAAAATGATGGCGTGACAAAATTAACATGTTTATAAAATTTTGAAATATTTCGAAAGAAGAAAACTTAGACTTCCATCGTTTTAAAAATGAAAGAACGCAACTCGAATAGTAATAATGCGTTGATATCGGTGAAATTGTGAAACGAGGAACTCGAAAACACTATTTTACGTCGCTAAAAACTGTGGAGGAATACTCGTATGGGGAAGAAACGTCCAATAGTCGAGGGAACACTGTGGTCTCGTTGTCAGGGTTAATAGTGGGGCTTCTAATCCTCAAACCTGTCAATGCCATCGAATAATGTTCGTGAAATACATACTTCTCATACGCAATCGCAAAAGAAGCTTCGAAAATAATAAAATAAATTTTATCCAATGTAGTTCTAAAAATAATCAAATTTTATTCGTATAAACTATACTGGTGTCGTCATTTCTTGAAGCAGTTATTATTATTCATTTGTTAATTGGAGAAACCTCTTAGTAGAAAAAAGAAATAATACACATGGAGAAGCAAAGTAAAAATTATACAATATCATTGCTTATAAAATTTTGTAAAACAATTAATGAACAATACGCTGCAAGGATACTTGATAAATTCTGAATATTTATTATAGTCAACTTCAGAATGAAAAAAGATAACATCTTTGTTCGATGAATGCTTTCTTTACGAGTTAGAAACACTTCGATTGCGACAGAGTTTTGCAAGTGTGTCTGAGAAGATTGAAAACGCAGATATCGATGTAGAAGTCTTTGTTAAACTACAGCAACACCTGTTGCAATTGAATAAGTTAGTGATAAACAGTATCTGTCCCTAACAAATCCTCAAATTTCTCAAGAATTATTGCACAAACTCCGCAAAAGTTGTTTACAACTCAGAAAGGAAGTATTTCTAGTCGTATAACCAACGACCTATTTTCATCGTCGAGATGAGCAAACTACGGCCCCCAATGTTCGCCATTTATGTATTTCAAATATACATATGTTAGTAAACTACTGGTTACCATTGCTTTCTTTGTTCCTTCGCCTTGATCGAACAAAGAAATTAGTCTTCAATTTTTTAGCAGTAATATTTTAAAAACTCTACGTTTCGGTCTATTTTGAAGGCTCCTTTCAGTAAATAACAATTATATACATTTTCTAAAAATGCGTCTGACATGTAATATCTGCGAGGAAGATTATTGAGACGAATTTAAATGTAATATTATTATATGCATTAATATTAGGAATTTTTGTTTTAGAGTTTTCATTCTAAATTTTAATATTTCAATAGTAACTTTTGCAATTGCTTAATTTGCTTTAATATTTATAAAATGCCTGATGGAACATTTCCAACATTCGTCACTTAGTATACTATGCTTCAATTTCGTTTCCAATTTTTTGAATTTTTAGTAGACATGATTAATTAAAAATTTTGTACGCTACTTTCGATGCATGTTTGTGAATAAATCAGTTGCTTTTAAGCGTCAGAGCGAGTACCGTAACGCGCAAGAAATATTTGACAGGAGGCGAGTAGTTCAGTGGAATAAGAATGTTTTAACCAGACGTCAGAGTCAAGTTCATTGTCGAGTCTCGAGCAGTGCACGCTGTTGAAAACAAAAAGCTGAACGAATCGTTTGCTATCAGAGACGGGCAGAATTATTATCCGTACAAATATTAACAACAAACACTTGTCAAATAAAAATTATAATCGGAACTATCGAATATTTTACAATCGACAAATTAAAACGAAACTCTTCGAACAAATTCCTACAGTTTGATTTCATCGGTTGTCTATCGTTTGAATAAAATTAACAACAAACACTTGTCCTGTACTCGCCAAATAAAAATTATAATTGGAAGCATAGAATTAAACATTTAGTAATTGACAAATAAAATTGAAACTATGATGTCACTAATAAATTGCTGCAGGTTGCTTTCATCGGTTGTCTATCGTTTGAATAAAATTAACAACAAACACTTGTCCTGTACTCGCCAAATAAAAATTATAATTGGAAGCATAGAATTAAACATTTAGTAATTGATAAATAAAAATGAAACTGTAACGTCGCGAATAAATTGCTGCAGGTTGATTTCATCGGTTGTCTATTGTTTGAATAAAAATTTTGCCCAACTCCGTTCGCGACACCGTATTGAAAGATACTCACATACATCACTGACGACATTATTTCACTGTGTAACGTTTAAAAAAAAATTGATTAGAGATTAAACTATTAATACTGTTGTGAGGAATAGCGAGGAAAATCGAAAACTCGCGATATCGACTGTTCTATAGTGTCTTGTCGAACTCTCGGCCGGTGAATACGGCGTCGCGACGCCGCGCGTCTTTTTATAAGATGGTAGCTACGTCAAAAGGCTCCCACCAAGAATTTCCGGAGAGCCGGCTCGCCACCAGCCGAAATATTTGCCGCTTTCGCGAGCCAATTCCGCGCGAATTCGTTGCTTTTGATTGGATGCCAACGGGCGAGTCCGTGCACCGGAAATGATGAATCTTTGATTCCATCCTGGTCACATTTTCTGCCGACAAATTCATTCACGAACCTCTTCGAATCCATCTTCGACGATTCTGTTTCGACGCGTTTGTTTTTGTTTACGTTCGGAGATCGCCGTTTTTGATCGAATTTTTTCCTTCCACGCCATTGTACAAGATACGCATAGGCGTGCACTCACGAAACCATGGTGGACATTAATATTATTAATATAAAATTCCAAGTCTGTGGGTTTGTGATTGCTCCATAACTTCTGTTACTTTTGTCCAAGTTACATGAAATTTTGTTTAGTTGGTGAACTCTATATCGCCATATTTCTCTTTATAATCGAAGCTTCCTCAAATCTGGGGGTTTGTTATTGCTTTATAACTCCCACTATTTTTGTCCAGGTAACATGAAATTCTATTTGGTTAGTCTGTGCATCGCCATGTTTCTTTTTGTTGTAGACTTTTTTCCAAGTCTGAGAGTTTGTGATTGCTCTATAACTTCTGTTACTTTTGTCCAAGTTACATGAAATTTTGTTTAGTTGGTGGACTGTATATCGCCATGTTTCTTTTTGTAATCGAATATTCCTCAAATCTGTGGGTTTATGATTGCTTTATAACTTCTACTACTTTTTTCCACGTCATATGGAATTTTGTTTAGTTGGACTGTGAATCACCATATTTCTCTTTGTTATTGCATTTTCCTCAAATCTGGGGGTTTGTGATTGCTTTATAACTTCTACTACTTTTGTCCAAGTCAGATTGAATTTTATTTGGTTAGTCTGTGCATCACCATGTTTCTTTTTATTGTTGAATTTTTCCCAAATCTGAGGGTTTGTGATTTCTTCATAACCCTATTTTTATCCAAGTAAGATGGAATTTTATTTAATTGATGGACTGTATATCGCCATGTTTATTTTTGTAATTGAATTTTCCACAAATCTATGGGGTTGTGGTTGCTTTATAACTCCTGCTATCTTTGTCCAAGTAAGATGGAATTTTATTTGGTTAGTCTATGCATCGCCATGTTTCTTTTCGTTATCGAATTTTGTTCAAATCTGTGGGTTTGTAATTTCTTCATAACCCTAGCTATCTTTATCCAAGTAACATGGAATTTTATTTGGTTAGTCTGTGCATCACCATGTTTCTTTTTATTGTTGAATTTTTCCCAAATCTGTGGGTTTGTGATGTCTTCATAAGCCTACCTATTTTTATGCAAGTAAAATGGAATTTTATTTAATTGATGGACTGTATATCGCCATGTTCATTTTTGTAATTGAATTTTCCACAAATCTATGGGGTTGTGGTTGCTTTATAACTCCTGCTATCTTTGTCCAAGTAAGATGGAATTTTATTTGGTTAGTCTATTCATCGCCATGTTTCTTTTCGTTATCGAATTTTGTTCAAATCTGTGGATTTGTAATTTCTTCATAACCCTAGCTATCTTTATCCAAGTAACGTGGAATTTTATTTGGTTAGTCTGTGCATCACCATGTTTCTTTTTATTGTTGAATTTTTCCCAAATCTGAGGGTTTGTGATTTCTTCATAACCCTATTTTTATCCAAGTAAGATGGAATTTTATTTAATTGATGGACTGTATATCGCCATGTTCATTTTTGTAATTGAATTTTCCACAAATCTATGGGGTTGTGGTTGCTTTATAACTCCTGCTATCTTTGTCCAAGTAAGATGGAATTTTATTTAGTTAGTCTATGCATCGCCATGTTCCTTTTCGTTGTCGAATTTTGTCCAAATATGTGGATTTGTAATTTCTTCATTACCCTAGCTATCTTTATCCAAGTAACGTGGAATTTTATTTGGTTAGTCTGTGCATCACCATGTTTCATTTTATTGTTGAATTTTTCCCAAATCTGAGGGTTTGTGATTTCTTCATAACCCTATTTTTATCCAAGTAAGATGGAATTTTATTTAATTGATGGACTGTATATCACCATGTTCATTTTTGTAATTGAATTTTCCACAAATCTATGGGGTTGTGGTTGCTTTATAACTCCTGCTATCTTTGTCCAAGTAAGATGGAATTTTATTTGGTTAGTCTATGCATCGCCATGTTTCTTTTCGTTATCGAATTTTGTTCAAATCTGTGGATTTGTAATTTCTTCATAACCCTAGCTATCTTTATCCAAGTAACATGGAATTTTATTTGGTTAGTCT